TAAAGATAACCAAAGATGTTTCTTTTGTAAAAGGTCAATTTTAAGAACAAAGTTATCATACAACTTATTTTGTATTGGTTAGCTTGTATGTTGTTTGAAATTTATGGTATTTGTTTTAATAAATAATGTTGGAAATTTCTTAATTATAAAGTTCTATTTAGTTTGATTTTCAGAAGCTATTTTCAAAAAAAAATTTTCTAAAAAAACTAAAAATTAAATTGGTGAATTTTTTTTTAAAAACGCATCATTTTTATATCTATATAATAAAGCAGAACGGTTTTTGAATTTATCCTACAAACATTTGTCCTACTAGGACATTTGGACGGCTCAGATCTATTCAAATTATAAAACAACGGCTAAGATATATTTTAAAAAAATATCCTACATGTACATTTTCAATTTTCCCGTTTCTCTCTCTTACTTTTTTCTTTTTTCACCCATCCTTCCATGATCCCATGATCCTACCTTTCTCTCTCTTTTCTTTTTCTTTTTGTTTTTGTTTTTTTTTATTTTCTCCCATTTTTATTTTTCTTTCTATTTTTTTTTTCTCCTTTTTGTTCAATATATTTCACACATATTTCCATAGAATGTATGTATGCCCGTAATACACTAGGACATCATACATACAATTTTCATATAATTATATAAGTAAAAGCAATATTATATGTATGCCCGTGAAAATTGTATGTATCTTAAGCACATCTATCTATCTAGTTATATATTGGCCCTGTTTGGTAAAGTTTATTTCCAGCTTATTTCAGCTTTTAGCTTAATTTAAGCTATTTTGATATATTTGGTTCAGCTTAACAATATAGCTTATAGCTTTTTGTAAGTCAAAAATCAACTTATTTTTTTAGTGGGGGAGGAGAAGCTTAATTTATAAGTCAAAAATCAACTTATGTTCAAAATTATAAGCTATAAGCTGTTAAGGTATAAGCTATAATCACTTTTCCACAACTCTACCAAACAGGGCCATTATATAAGCAAAAGCGAGTTTTCGTGAGGAGTTTTGTGAGAACTCCAAAATTTTATAATAAATTTGTGATTTTATCAAATTAAAATATAAATTTAAATAGTGTCGGAATTATAATTATATTCTAATCATAATATTATTTACACCGTGTCTTCAGGTACGGGCATACGCTAGTAATTTTATATTTTGAGAGGGTAGAAATAATTTTTTTAAATATTTTTTTTTATATTTATTTTCATTAAATTAGTTTTTATTTTGTCAAAAGTTAAACATGACGACAACTTTGATTTCATTATTAAACCAATCCATTAAATCAAAAAAAAATCTAAAATTAAAAACATTTCATACATTGGACTTATCAATTACACATTAAAAGTCTAATAACTATATATTACATGATAACCATAAAAAAATGTCTATTAATAACAAATACAACTATCTATTACATGATAATTATCCAAAAACATCAACAAAAATAATCACTCATTATATGATTATCATTCAAACATATACTAAAAAGTAATTTGATAAAAAATAAAAATATAAAAATATAAAAGATTTATAATTTCATCTTTGGTAGGTAGAAATAATTTTTAAAAATTTAAAAATAAAATTTTGACATTTTTTATTTATTAAACTAGTTTATATTTGGGATTTTTATTGATAAACCTCATTTAAAAGTGTTCTAACTCAAGAAGTCCATGAAGAAATTTTTTAACCCACTTAGTCCCATGTATTTATACTTTTATTCCATAAAATCCTTTTTCTTGATTTATATTATTTTCTTACACTCTTATGCCCTTATATTTAATATTGATATTTAATATAGAGAGAGAAAAGAAAGGACCAAGACATAGAAAATTTCATATACAAATTAAATAAACATTAATGCTATTATTTTATATTATTATATAATGTAAATATATTTTTAATTGACGACACATTAAAAATAATATGAACATTCTCTCTCATCTAATGTGAATATATTTTTAATTGACAACACATTAAAAATAATGTGAACATTCTCTCTCATCTAATGTGAACGTTCACAATATCTTTCCGAAAAATTCTCTCTCATCTAATGTAGTGATGTGAACGTTCACAGCATGTGAACCTTCTTATTTTTAATTGACAACATATTAAAAATAATGTGAACATTTTCTCTCATCTGATCTGAACGTTCACAACACATTTCTGAAAAATTCTTTCTCATCTAATGTAGTGATGTGAATATTCACAATATGTTATATTTTTAATTAACAACACATTCTTATTCACAACATGTAATAATGTGAACATTCACATTCGTATGTTTTAGTATGAATATTCACATCATTTAATAAACAACACAATGAGAAAATTCATTTCAAATTAATGTGAATATAATGATATGAATATTCATTTTAATTACATGATGTGAATATTCACATCATATAATTGACAACACAATAACAAAAATTCATTTCAAATTAATATGAATATAATGACAATCAATATCCTGATACATGGAAACTACCAAAACACAATAACAATCAACATTAAATATCAACATTAATAGGGGGCATAAGAGATTGAGGGTGTTTTGATCTTCTTACCTGAAATAAGATCTAATGGAATAGACAAAAAGAATAAGAGATGGATGGAATAAAACTCTTAGAAAGAGGATTTATCAAAAAAGCTCCCTTATGTTTTATTAAATTAACGACTTTGTCATTAAAATAGAGTAATAGTGCTTTTAATTATTTTTATTTATAATAAGATTTACAATTTATGATTAAATATATCAAAATTCAAAATTTAGAATTCAAAATGACACAAACTCCAAACTAAATGGACATAATTTGCTAAATAAAAAAAATAACAAAAGAAAACATGGATAGTTATTTTGAAAAGAAAATACTATAGATTTTAAAATTTATACCAAATAAATGACCAAATATCACGCATGCGTATAAACTCCACACTTTTGTGATCACACAGCCATGTCAAACCTTTAGTCATTTCAGTCACCATTTCACAAGTAGCTGCCTGAATAGATCTTTGTTTACAATGGATTCTCTCTCTAGAAACTCTCTGTCTTCGAACCTTCTGAGTTTAGATAAGGCCAACGGTAACAATGGAGGCAAATCCTTTGAGGAAACCGATCACCTAATCCGAAGCACTAAGAAAATTAAGGGTGCAAACATCGAAGACGATGACACAATGCTTGATACCCCGTCGGCGGAGACCCAGGTTGAACTCGCTATAGTTCAAACAGAGATACCTAGTCTGGCCGAAAAAGTAGTACGAGATTCCATACCCAAATCCTTCAAGGATGCTCTCACTACTTGAAGTCCGAATGAGAGACCCTTTGATGAAAATCTGGACGATCTTTCCACAGATGATGAGTTTGAAGATGATAGTGACGAGGTCGAAGAAGCGGAGTCATCGGTAACAGAAGTGCAGGGCATTCCCAGGATCTCACTACCTAAGAAATTGTTGGCTAAAATTAGAAAGCCATGGAAGGATTGCTTAATTATCAAGCTATTGGGGAAGAGGGTGGGCTATAGACTCCTAATGACAAAGATTCGCAAACTTTGGGACCTCCAAGGTGACTTCGAAGCCATTGATCTTGACTCAGGTTTTTCCCTCATTAAATTCCAAATGAAAGAGGACTGTGCGTATGTTTATACAGGGGGTCCTTGGATTGTTCTTGACCACTATCTCACAGTTTGTAAATGGCAACACGATTTTAAACCGGCGGCGGCTGAGGAGGTGAAAACAGCCCTGTGAGTTAGATTTCCCCAATTGCCGATAGAGTACTACAACGAAAAAGTTATTTTTCATATTGCCAAGGCCTTGGGTAAACCTCTAAAAATCGACCTGAATACAGCTACTTCGACTAGGGGCAAATATGCGCGTGTGTGTATTGAGATGGACCTCAAGAAGCCTCTGCTCTCGTGTTTTGCTATTGGTAAGTATAACTATTCGATTGAATACGAACATTTACATACTTTTTGTTTTAATTGTGGCAGGGTAGGCCATCGGCGGGAATGGTGTAGCGAGAAACCGGCCATGGTTGCAAATGTAGCCTCCACCGGAGTTGCTGCCAATCTGATTCCGACCGTTAGTGATGAGGTAGTAGGCCATAATGGCATTTCTCAGTCTAATTCTGAACCACATGGGCTTGTTGACGCAGGCAATAGTAGTTATGGGCCATGGATGCTTGTAGATCGAAAGGGAAATCACCAAGGCAAAAAGAGTGGACCCGTTTTAAAGGCCACTAACGCAGTGTCGAATAGAACCACAAGCCCACATTCTCATAAAGCCCATTGGAGAAATCCATCAACCTCAGCCCAACCCTATAAGAATTTTCATAACCCGAACCATAAAACAACTTTTAAAACCAGTGGCCATAAAAATACCTTTACTGCTAGCAGCTCACATAATGTTCCCTGTTCAACCACTGAATCCCCTAGTCTAATCACATCAAACCCATTTGGATGCTTACAGCCTTCTGTAAAGAAATATGAGGACGCTACCTCTACACCTATTCAGAAAGAGTATTATGGAACCCAAGAGATGAGGATAGACCGGTCTGATGTCGATGTATACAAGGCAAGTGAGTTTCCAAACCAGCAGTGTTGTGTTGATATTCAGAATGAGCGACCCCCTCTTATTTCAAACACTAAATCCATTATATCTACTTCATCCATTCCCCACTTCGTGAAGCAACCCACACTCTCTCCTCACTCTATTCAACCTTTAGTAGATAGAGATTCCAGAAGTGCTTCACTACAAGATCACCTGCAAGCAGATGTAAATAGCAATAGATCCCGAGATAGAAACTATTCACCTAATCGCCTTAGAGTGGTGGATAGAGGAAGCTCGAGTCATGATAGAGCTGAACATGGAGAGTTACGGCTCCTAAACTCACAGCCTCAAGATCAACTCAACAAGGGCCATGGTGAGCGATCGCATTTGGGTAAGGAAAATTTTGGGGACTCCTGATTTTTGCCCTTTACCTAATTTTCCAAAATCATCATCTATGAAGTTACTTGTATGGAACTGTAAAGGTGCTGGGAACAAGGTGTTCAAATGCAATTTGCGTGAGATTATCTCAAACCATAAACCATCTATTGTAGTTCTCATGGAAACTAAAGTCCAACTTAGTTCAATGGGGCTTTTTTTCAACAAGCTGGGATTCACAGCCTTTACGCATGTTGACCCAGTGGGCAAGTGTGGTGGTATTTGGGTGCTGTGGGACCATTTCAAAGCTACTGTTATGGCCTTAGATGCAAACCCACAAGTGATTCACGCTAAGGTCAAACGAGATAACTTTCAAGATTGGATCCTTTCGGCAGTTTACGCTAGCCCTAACCCGAGATCCCGAGATGCTCTTTGGAATAATCTGGAGTCCATGGCTGATAATATTTCTGAACCTTGGCTTGTAGCGGGTGACTTCAATGACTTCGCGAACCTGAATGAAAAACGCAGCTTCTCTACAAACCAGGATCAGACGAGAACCCGTAAATTCCAGGCCAGGCTAAATAGATGTAAGCTCATGGACTTGGGGTGTTCAAGTCCCCGTCCGACTTGGTCCAATGGGAGGCAGGGTATGGCTAATACACTTGAAAGACTTGACTGAGCTGTTTGTACTACGGAATGGAGATTGCAATTTCAAGAAGGAGCAGTGCGAAATCTTCCAAGAACTTACTCTGATCATGCTCCAATGATTATCTACACTGAAGGTATGTAACATTCTGACCCCTTTCTGCGTCCTTTTAGAATGAAAGCTGCCTGGTTTGTAAACCCTGATTTTAAAATTTTGGTTAAAGATTATTGGGATGAAACCAACAACTCAATCCTTGAAGCCATTACCTCTGTTACTACTAAAGCTTCTCATTGGAATAAAAATGTTTTTGGAAACATTTTTCGAAACAAATGTTGGCTTCTGGTTAGAATTGAAGGCATTCAAAAGGCCCAATCCCAAAAATTCTCTCATAACTTGTTTGTTTTAGAAAAAGAGTTGATTAAAGATTACAATAATATTCTGTACCAAGAGGAAATTTTTTGGTTTCAAAAATCTCGGTCTAACTGGATCTCTTTGGGTGAAAGAAATACTAGATTTTTTCATATTGCTACTTTGGCTAAAAGAAGGCATTCTGGGGTTATCACTTTGAAAGACTTTAGTGGCAACTGGATTTCTAAACCAACTGATTTGAAAACTCATGTGGGTAACTATTTTGAGGAGTTGTTCACTGCCTTACCTGAGGTCACTGGAATTAGATGGGAGCATGAATTGCTCTCTAAATTCACTATGGATGATAATGCTGAGTTGGGTAGACCTGTTACCAACTTGGAAATTTGGTCAGCTATGAAGTCTATTAAAGCCTTTAAGGCCCCCGGTTGCGATGGCATACAATCTCTTTTCTATCATTCTTATTGGGACATTGTGGGTTCTTTTATTTGTAATTTTGTTAAATCTTGTTTTAACTCGAGAGCTATCCCCCCAGATATTAACAAAACTCTTATCACTCTCATCCCAAAAATAGACAATCCCGAATCCATTAAACAATTTAGGCCCATCAGTTTGTGCAATGTCCTTTATAAAACCCTTTCTAAAACCTTGGTGAGTAGACTCAGACACCTTCTTGTGAATGTGATTAGCCCAAACCAGAGTAGCTTTATCCCAAGGAGGACTACCAATGATAATAATTATTATCGCCCAAGAGATCATCCACACTCTAAGATTCAAAAAAAGGCAAACAAGGTGATATGATTTTCAAAATTGATCTTGAAAAACTTATGATAATGTCTTTTGGTCTTTTCTTCACGATACATTAGTTGATTTTAATCTTAACCCCCATTGGATTGAGCTTATCATGAATTGTGTTACTAAGGTTAATTCCTCTATGTTATGGAATGGGGAAACAGTTCGTGAGTTTCATCTTAAGAAGGGTCTTCGACAAGGAGATCCCTTATCCCCTTATTTGTTTGTTCTATGTATGGAAAGATTGTCTAATTTGATTACTTTGAAAGTTGGCAGTGGAGAATGGAAGGGTACCAAGGCTTCTGCTAGGGGCACTGCTATTTCACATTTTTTTTTTGCTGATGATCTTCTCTTTTTTGCCAAGGCAGATTCTAGGAATTGTGACACCATTATGGATGTTTTAAATCAATTCAGTAATTGTTCGGATTTGCATATTAATTTTGCTAAGTCTAAGTTGTTCATTTCTCCAAATGTGCCTATCTCAAAGGCCAGGAGTTTTAGTAACAATTGTGGTATACCCCTCACTCATGATTTAGGTAAGTACCTTGGTATCCCACTGCTCCATAACAGAGTGAGCAGGGCTCACTTTACTTCCATTTTTGAGAAACTTCAAAACAGATTGACTGGTTGGAAAGCAAATATGTTATCTATTGCAGGGAGGGCCACCCTCATTAATTCGGTTACCTCAGCCCTCCCAGCGTATATGATGCAAACTATGGACTTACCTGTGAATGTGTGTAAGGATATGGATCGTCTGAACATGAATTTTTTATGGGGTGATGTGGGCACCTCCAAAAAGATTCATTTAGTGAATTGGGCCACGGTGTGTAATAGTAAGAAATTGGGTGGTCTTGGCATTCGAAAGGCCAAGGATAGTAACCTTGCTTTACTCTCTAAACTGGGCTGGAAACTCCTTTCCGAGGAGTCTTGTTTATGGGCTAGAGTTCTTAAAGATAAATACCTTCACGGGGACTCCCTTCTCAACTATTCTAGTAAGAGAAAGGCTTCTCTCACCTGGAGAGGAATTCTTAAAACTCGTGAAATCCTTGTTAAGGGTAGCAAATGGTGTATTGGCAATGGTAATACCGTCTCTATTTGGTTTGATTGGTGGTGTGGGGAGTGTAGTTTGGCCTCCTTATTTCCTAACTCTCACCTCATTAGTTTGGAGAAGGTGAATACTCTCTTGGATGAGGAGGGTAGTTGGGATATAGGTGTTATATCTGTTAAGTTACCTAGGGAAGCTTGGGATCTTGTTTCGAAGATTCAGCTTCCTGGGTTTGTAACTTACCCAGATATGCCACATTGGAAGGGCTCGAGGTGTGGTGAGTTCAGTACTGCTGTGGCCTATAAATTGGTGACTGATTTGGGAGTGGACTCTGGGAATTGGCTATGGTTATGGAAATTGAAAATCCCCCAAAAACTCAAAGGCTTTGTTTGGTTGGCACTTCATGAGAAGTTGCTAACGAACAGCCTAAGAGTTACAAGAGGATTATCAAATTCTGCTATGTGTAATAGTTGTGGTGTGCAGGTTGAAGACTTAAACCATATCTTTAGAAACTGCCCCAAAGCTATATCTATCTGGACGGGTTTGAATTGTGTTTCTTGGCTGTTTAATTGCAGGAATTTATCTTTTAAAATTTGGGTGGAGTCTTCTTCGAAGTCAAAATCTCATCCTTTCATTGAACCCACACTTTTTGTTACCTCTTTATGGCAGATTTGGAAAAATAGAAATCTTTAGATTTTTGGAAAATGTTGATTTGCCTTGGCAGCATAGTCTTTACCTTATACATAGATATGCTATTAATATTAAAGATGCTTTTAATATGTCTATTGTCAACATTTTGGATAATGAGCTAATTAGTTGGTCTCTTCCTCCTCCAGGTAAATTAAAGATGAACACGGATGGTGGCTCGAAAGGAGATCCAGGTGATGGTGGCTTTGGGGGCCTCATCCGTGACAAGAGAGGCATGTGGCTTTGTGGTTATTTCGGAAAGCTTACAAATTGTACCTACATTGAAGCGGAGATTTGGGCTCTATATAGGGGTTTGACGATAGCCTTCGAGAAAGGCTATAAAGATCTTAGCATCGAGTCAGATTCCCAATATGCTATTGATATGCTAAAGGGAAACGTTGAGGTTTTTTCTCCTATGAGAAGTTTAGTGGAGGATTCCAAGTTTCTCATTTGAAGATGTGGCTTTTCGATTCACCATGTCAAGAGGGAGGGCAATATGAGTGCTGATGGTCTTGCTAAAATGGGGGCAAATCAAAATGAAGTGCTGGTTGTGATGGATGATCCTCCTGAAGAAATCTGAGGTCAATTAGTTGCGGATATGGTTGGTCAGAGTTATCTCAGACATTGTTCTGGGGACTCTTAGCTCTCTTTTTTGTTTGTTTGTTTTGACTGTTTGTTTTGGTTTTCATTTCCGATGTACCCAAAAAAAAAAAAAAACCTTTAGTCATTTGTTTGATAAGAAATTTGAGTCTTGTTTGGATTGGTTTTGAAAAACAAATTTTAAAGAAATTTTTTTAAAATTTTGTTTGGTTTAGTGATTTTGAAAAAAAAAAATTTCAAAATTACTTTCTATCTCATATATATCAATCAATTACTTTTTCTATTTCATCTTTCCTTTTCAATCATTTTTTCTCTCTCACAAACATCTACTCAATTATATCAAAATATCAAATCATCACAAACTTCTATACTCCAAATTTTTTTCCAAAATATATAACCAAACAAATCAAAAAAAATACTAAATTTTTTCTCCAAATTTTTTTTTAAAAATTTATCTTCCAAAATCAAACCAAATAAGTTTTCAAAAGTAATCAAATCAAACAAATTTTCCTAAATTTTTTTTCCAAAACTTATTTGGTTTACAAATTTTCCAAACAAATAGCTCTCTTATACACATCAAATCAATAATTTTTTTCAAAATTCTCTCTTAAAATAATTTTTCAAAGTATCTTTTAAAAAAAAATCAAACCAAACAAATTTTCATACTTTTAATTTCAAAGCATGTTTCTCAAACACAAATTAAACAAACAAGGCCCTTGTATCTCCACCATTACCTATTCACCCGTTCTGTAATTTTATTTTGTGCCCCAAACACCGATCGTCTCTTCGTCCTCTCTCTCTCAACTGGCACACCCGTTTCTTCCGCCACCTGTTCCGAAGGCGCGCATGGTCTACGCTCTTCAACGGTCTCTCTCTCTCTCTCTCTCTCTCTCTCTCTCTACTTCTGAATATTTTAGAAAATACCTTACTATCAAGTTGGCAAAACTAAAGTTAACGAAACATTGAAGAACTAGATTGTAACTGGTAATATACATGTAGTTGAAACCAACTGGCAAAAAAAAAAAAGTCTCTCAAGTATTTGAAGTGATTCTTTACTCGGCTAGCTCTGGTTACTGGAAATTTCACTTCAGCACATGCGATTTCAGTTGAAAAATCACAATGATTGAGAAGACGAAGAAGCACAAAAAGGGTTCAATCAGCGAAAAGGACATCTCCACTCTGCTTCAAAGGTTTCTTTTTTAATACACTTCTGGTTTGATTAATTGATTCGATTCGTTTACACGCCTTTGTACATTTGGAATTTCTGTTTCTGTTTATTAATATTGGCTATAAAGGTGTTCTTTTTTATTTTTAATTTTAATTTTTTGATTTTTGTGATTTTGTAGGTATGAGGCGACGACAATGCTTACATTGCTTCAGGAAGTGGCTCAGATTCAGGATGTGAAGATTGATTGGAATGCCTTGGTGAAGAAGACTGCAACTGGGATTTCAAATGTAAGGGAGTATCAGATGCTGTGGCGGCATTTGGCTTATCGTGATACACTGGTCGAGAGATTGGATGATGGGGCCGAACCTCTGGTCA